GTCCCTGGCTACCAGGCGACATCGCCTTGGTCCCTGGCTACCAGGCGACATCGCCTTCCTCCAGGTGGGAACCATGGTAACGATTGTGCTCAGTTTCTCTGCTGGGTGATGGACACCGTGTCTTTCTGAGGTTGATTTACGGCAGTCTGCAAGGCGGACAGACGGAAGGTGGCATTTCTAACGTGGCGCTCCTACGAGAGAATCCATGGCGTCCCGATTTAGGCTGCGGGCGAAATGCTCGTCGTGGCAGCGTCAGAAAGCCACCACACCCCTCAGAGCTTCTGTCAGTCCGCAAAATAACAGGCCTGGTCCACCGCTAAATCCGTCCCGCTAAAAGTAGGGGGAAAGTAAACACTCGGCCCGTGCCAAACCAGTAAGTGCGGAGTGTGGCGTAAGGTCACTGGTCCACTGGAGCCACGTGGCCAGTGATGTGGTTCCTGTTAAGAGGACAAAACAAACAGACACAATGAGAGAGTCTTCTGCAGCTTGATTACACCAGACATCCTCCATACTTCAGCGTGTGCTGTGTGGCTCTACAGCCAAGTCAGGCTTTTTCCATTGGAGATCCTTTGCATTCAGTTTCCATTGAGGTCTGTTATTTCCAGCTTATCACTGCCTTCTGGTTCTACTGCCTGTTTTTGCTAGCATATGGTTCATGATCACTGAAATCACATGATGTGGTTCGCGAAGGCTGATTGGATGTGCTCCAGGCTTGTCCAGCATGTCTCCTAAAGACCTTTTGTGGGACCACGTTCTTTTCCCCCTCCGCTTCAACTTAGTGCCACCTGGGGCAGGGGATTTTGAGTCCTCACAAGGCAAAGATTTCACCCCAGTGAAATGCTGACAAACGTACAGCTTTGCTTTCATCACCCACTGTGTGCAGTGTCTTTTACAGCACGATGTCCAGAAAGTGGCGTGACCCCCACACCTCCTGCTCCTTGGTCGTCTGTCACCTACCTGCTCTAGTCTCTCTAGAAGCCGTGTAACAGCTCAGCATGTCAGGTGGTTCGATTGCATTCAGAAGATCCCTCAGGAACCTCAGAGTCGAAGCATGGCCCACTAGCTCTCCAGTTGAAGACTTGGGCGGTTTTGTTTTTCATTCCACCGATATATGCAACCCTGGTTCCGTTTTCTAGGGGAGATGATGAGATGTTTCTGGTCTGTGTAGGCTCTTTGAGGTCTGTTAATCCCTCTGACTGCACATTGCACTCCCGGAACCTCTTGGCTCCACACCCTTTGACCTGTGACCCCTTTGCCTATGCTCAGGTGATGAAGACGTACCACATGTACCACACGGAGAGCATGAGCGCCGAGTGCAAGCTGAAGGAGGCTGAGAAGCAGGTGGGCCGGTCCGGGGAGCCTGTCTTCAGCATGCGCATGGACGATAAGAACCAGAGGCGCAGCTCCACCAAAAAGATCGAGAAGATGAAAGAGAAGGTATGGAGGGCAAGGCTGGGTGCCAGATACTCTGTGAATACCATTTGGGAACTGTATAGCTTCACATTAACAGAACCGGAACTTTCCACGCCGGTCTCATTGTCGTTTTTCCTGTTGGCATTAGTATCTTATTTTTTTTTAATGCTGACGCTGGAACTTTCAGCATGTATTCATGCACAAACACACATGATAGACATGGAGTGTAGAATGTGTAGTCTGAAATGGCTTTGGTTTCCAAAGTCTGTGTCCTGTTGATGATTCATGTAACAGTCATAGCTACATAGTTTTTACAAATCGTTCCTGGAAGCAGAAAACGGGTGACGAGACACCCAGCATGAATTACTGTCCGTGGGTCCGTCCGTCTGGGTGGGGGGGTTAGCGGGGCATGGCTGGAGAAGAGGAAGTAGAGCCTGGCTTGTGTAGGTTGATCCTCTTCCCCCCCTTCCTTTCCAGACTGAGTAGACTCTGCTGGGGTGGTGTTTATTCTGTCTGGCTGACTTCCACGTAGGAGATGATCTAAGCTTCCCCGTTGTGTGTCCGGCAGATGTCAGTCTTGCAGTCCATAGCATCCTGTCATGACCTGGGAAGACGCTACCTTGTCAATGAAATGCTTTCTGCAGTTTTAACACTTTTGTCTCCCTCTGGTTCTCCCTCATTCTGCAGCGACAAGCCAAATACTCGGAGAACAAGTTGAAATTGATCAAAGCTCGCAACGAATACCTGCTGACTCTGGAAGCCACAAATTCTTCCGTGTTCAAGTATTACATTCACGACTTGTCCGACTTGATCGACGTGAGTACTTTGGGGCGGCAGGTGACGGGGGGGGAGGTGGTGGTGGTGGTTCTCACGAAATACCTGAAACTGTCCGAAGGAACATCTGGTTGTGTTCTCCTGTAAACAGAGTGAGAAGTTTTATGGCAGGTGGAAGGTGGGGGGCAGCTTGAAAGCAGAGTCCTTGCCCCCTCGAAGGTTCCGTCTCATCAGGTGCTCCTTCCTCCGCCGTTGCTCGGATACGAGGCTCAGTAGCTCTGTCTGGGCATCCAGTGAAACGTGGGTCTGCTATGTTTATCTTCTGTGAAGGCCGCATGCCTGCAGGTGAAGATCTATCCTGAAAGACCCCTAGTTCCTTATGGGACTGACAGCTGATGGGTGTGAAGTATAGGCAGACCACGGGTGAAAAGTGTAACCTGTTTCAAGGGGCAGCCTGGGAGGACGAATGCCTCATGCGGGGAGCTGTTTCAAGCCCCTCACTGTACAGTGCCTCTCCTGGTAAGGAGAGTGGAGTTCTACAGTTCTTGGGTCACCTCAGGCGAGCAGATGGTCAGAGAGGTTGTCGCCACATTTTGGGCCAAACGTTATGCGTGATTCCTGCTTGCGTGAGGCCTTGTCTCAGGCATGCCAGTGTGTACGCCGTCTGCCCGTGCACCTCGGTTATGACGCCGTCTGCCCGTGCACCTCGGTTATGACGCCGTCTGCTGGGGGAGGGATTGATAGGTACAAAAGTGTGTGCTTGGA